AGAAGAAAAAGAAAAAGGGAGAAAGACGAGAGAGAGAAAAAAATCACGTAATTCGCGTTTCTCTTGGCGTGTTCTTCGCGACCGATCATCGCCGATTCGTCGAGGACAGCCGGGGCGATTTTCGAAAATCGGCTTTGATTGCGGTTCATCAATCCCGACGTTTCGAGCCCCCTCCCCCGGAGGCCCCGACGATCGTCGCCGATCGGTTTCGTTTCGTCGGACGAGAAACGAAGAACAGAGAGCGAGAAAACAGCGTGGAAAGCAATGATTAGAAATCGTCGGGGAATTTGGAGCGCTCTGGTTTCGAGAAACCTCTGTCTCGTTAACGATACCAAGGCGAGATTGTCATCGATGCGAATTACGATGAAATATATATATAAATATATATATACATATATATATATATTTTGTACGAACGGTAGTAGAGAAGGGAGGACGCGAGAATCGAGGGTTCGCCGTTTCGCGAGCTCTCCTCGGCGTCCACTCGTTGAACGAAATAAAAGTTAATCGACAAACGAAGGCTTGTTCATGGTTGGCTTATTTATTTATCATCCATCTATCCATCCATCCATCCCTCGCCGTGTCGCTCGCCAAGCGCCCCTCCCTGCAGAGGACCCGCTCGTCAGTCTCTCGAGAGACTCGCTCGCAACAGGTGAGCGACCGACCGACCGACCGAGCGAGCGAGCGAGCGAGCGAGCCGATGGACGAAAACAGACACCGAGTGTGTGTTCCGGCAGGTAACAATCGCAGGAGAAGAAGAAGGAGGAGGTGGAGGAGAGAAACAGGGAAGGGGGATCGATGAGAAACACGCGCAGGTAGAGAGGCGGAGAGAGAGGTGGGAATTCAGGTGCGAGTCGGCGGCGATCGTCAGTTCACCGCGAGCCGATGGACGCGACGCGCAGTTTCCTCTTTGACTCTGGCATTCATTCAGCTCTCTCTGGTTCTAGTTGATCTCTCTCCCTCTCTCTCTCTCTCTCTCTCTCTCCCTCCCTCTCTCTGTCTCTGTCTCGCCTTCCTCTCGTCTCCGTTGGCGATCGACGAGAGATGCCAATCGATCCGGCGCCATCATCTCGAGGGAAAACGATTCGCATCCGCGAGGCAAAGTAAGTCACCACCTGTTACGGCGAACGCGCGTCACGCGACTCGTCGATTGTTGTCATTCGCGCAGGATCGCAAGCGCTCTCGTAATCCTCGGAGAGTTTGGAACACGGCTGTGTCGTCGACGAGCAATAAACTCTCTCTCCGATTGCAGAAGAAAAAACCGGTCCGCCGCGACATTCCTGGATTCCCGCCGATCGTTCGCCGGGTGTTATCTCACACTCTGAAATTACCACGGCCTTCCGTTGCGCGAAAATTCGATCGTTTGCCTCGTTCGTTGTTGCCTTCGATCGGCTCTTGGACAAACGCGTGACTATATCCACGTACCGGTACCAGGTACGAGCGACCGGTTCTCTCTCCCTCCTTTTCTTCGACCTGTCTGCTCTCTCTCTCTCTCTCTC